TATATATATATAGTTATATATACATATATATGTTGTTCTTAATAGATGCTGCTTGTATAATATATGTTGTTTGTATATCTGGAGTTTGTAATAAAAATAATTTCTGATTCTGATCTGATGTTAGAGCTTTGTGAGTTTTGGGAGCCCTGTACTATAACTTTAATGCATCCTGCTGTAAACATATATCTGAATGTCTGATGATTGCTTTTCTTGGTTTCCATATCAGCCATTTAAAATCCCATATCAAAACAACAAGACTCATAAACTCTTTCTTCCTCTCTGCAATCAGACTCCTGAACAGTTGACACTTTACACCTGTACTTCTGTTTACAACTCTTTTGCACTGCACATCAGACACTTTTAAAAATTACTGTAATATTGAGTTTTTCACTGTACTTATTGTAATATTGTCTTTTTTACTTTTCTATTATTGGGTAATATTGTGTTTTTTGTTACTTATTGTATTATATGTCGGTATCAGGGTGGACAGCGAAGAAAGAATTTCACTGCACAGGAGGAAACTTGCTTTCTTTTGTTGCATATGACAATAAACATCTTGAAACTTGAAACTTGAAAAGTCGACCACTACTACAGTCACAGGGTAGCAGGAGCCTGTAGTTTGTGGACGTGTGCTCACTCAAACTGCCTTCACAGGGAACGACAGAAGGCTCAGATAGTGGAAACATCTGTATTTAAGGTCAGTCAGGTTTCACACACGAATCCACATCTGTATAACCCTACCTCGCTCCTGGACTTGAGTGTGCTCCGCTTTGGACGGAGGAGCACATCCTTGAAGTCCAGCTTGATGTCATTCTCAATGCGAGGCATTTTTTGGGGGGGAAAAGAAAGTGATTGCACAGGTAGTGAAAGGGAAGTTTGTCCTGGGATGTGAAATCTGTGAAAGCAGAAGGAGGTCAGAGTTCAGGAGGATTGTTTTTGTGCCTTGTCTCATTTTTTTCCCCCCCTCCCTTCACACACAAACACACATATATGATCCTAAAAATGTCATTAACTAAACGCAGGCGTGGTGCATCATTCAAAAGTCACAATTAGCCATAACTGTAATTACTCCTTTGTGGAAATGTAATAAGCAGATGTTCTAATAATCTTTATCTTACACGCCACTGAAAATGCATTCACACTAAACCACAGCACAAAGATCAGAACTGCGCTGCTTACTTAGCCCCGATGTCAAAATTCAAGGTTACATCGGTTTTAAAGTGTCACAGTTGAGCCCACTTGACTGTCATTGCATGCAGTTTATCTGAGCACACGTTATTAATTAATCCGCGAATGGATTAACTTGTAGGTTTCAGCTAAATAAAGCAGTTACCTTTCGGAAAGTATGAGTGATTTGGTCCTGTGCCGCTGTTTCCTTTTTCCACTGGGAGCGCGGGACGCTTTACGAGGGCGCACACCAACTGGCAAGCCAGTTTGTAGTTTTTAACGGGCTTTGTGTAATGGGCCCTACGAGGGGGAAAACTACAAATGCGAGACTCGCTTTACGCCACGTTGCGCTGGTGTCGTAAGGGTTGTTTTAGGCAGCCAGGGAACACACTACGGGTCGCTTTTGGTTGGGGAAACACTCACAACACTTTAAAATATTTTTTTAAGGCATATTCTGTGTGTTTTTTATTTCGGGACGGCGAATGAAGCAAATGCGAAGACCGAAATTAAACGGAAGTGGAACCGTTGACACGCAGACGAGGAGGAGGAGGAACACAGGAAGCAACCATTGAGTTATTTTTTATTTTTTTGGATACGAAGAATATCGAGTTTCTTCACCAAAATACGGATTTTATCGTTTGAAATCACATCTTAACTTTACACATTATCATACTGCAGTTTATTGGAGAAAAACAAGTCAACGAAGATGCTGATTAAAGTGAAGGTAAGTCAAAGCAAACAACGATTAGCCCCTCATTATTATTACTTAGTCACTGTGTCCAGTCTCATAATGTGCTCAACAATAACCTGATAATGTGTTCATTTCATCTCAGACACTCACAGGCAAAGAGATAGAGATTGACATAGAGCCCACAGATAAGGTACATTCGTTATCTTTGTTCCTCATTTGTGCTGTTTGCTGATAATGAGCTGTCATTCAGTGTGTTTGTGCATTGAGCCATATGTGTTTTTACATTTGTTCCCATCCAGGTGGAGCGGATTAAAGAAAGGGTGGAGGAGAAAGAGGGGATCCCTCCGCAGCAGCAGAGGTTGATCTACAGTGGAAAACAGATGTAAGATTAAAAAAAAAAAAGCCCCTTTTCTTTTTCTTAACCTTCTTTTTACGTCTCCGTCCTTAAGGGGTCAAAAGTTGAGGGTATTCACAAAAGCACCTGTTTTTTCACTTGTTTCAAAGCTGCTCTGTGTCATTTTAAGAAATTCAGGTTCCTCTGGATCCGTGATCCTGGATGCATTTGCAAGAATCCACCAGATCTACATTAAAACAACCAATCAGAGCTGAGAAAGATAGTTTATTGTTGAGTGTCTTTCTCGTCTCTGTTGGTTGTTTTCATGCAGACCTGGACAGATTATTTGTCTCGTGTACTTTTGTCAGAACACAGTGAAATATAGTAGTTACCTACTTTATCTTAAAGATACTGTTATTAATATACTGTTTATTTAGTCTTATCAAGTCAACACACCCTCACATGAAATTACTCAAT